GATGAAATTTTTGTCCAAAAATCTCCATTTTTCCTATTTTTATTTGTGAAAGGGATTTTTGGATTTTATCTGGTGGTCCCACATACTTTCTTGGAGAAGAATGAGGAGGAAGCTTCGAGAGGGAGCTATATATTTGATGTTTTTCGGACAGAAAAGGGAGATAAAAATTTGGAGAATTTCTTGACAAAAAGAGCTAGGGTTTTTCGGATTTTTGGTTGTTCCGTAAATTTCAATTCATTCGAAAATTAGAGTTTTCTTTTAGTGTTCTTTGATTCTATTTTGTTTCATTTTTCATATATAAAAAAGAACAAAAATTAGTTTCTTCTGATTCGGATTTTACATCAAAGTCAGAAAAATACAAAAAAAGAGTCAGTTTCTTCTTCTGGATTCTTGTTCGAAATGGAGTTTAGCTGAGGTTAGAGGTTCGATATCAATCGCCAATTTGAAGTTCCGTCCGAGCTCTTGTCCGATTCATTTGCTTGTTTCTTCGTTGGAATTCCGGGAATTGAAGCCGAGCTTCTGTTGAATCATATATTGTTACTTAAAGAGGAGTTCAACTTTACAGGTTCATTCCCGCGTCCATCTTCTTTATTTGAATTTGTTTGGAATGAATTGAAATGTATAAGAATCATTAAAATGGATTAAATAAGCAGTGATTTCGAAGATTGTGTTTAACTTCCCTTTGATTCGAGTCTACGTTCTGTGTCGATTGTATGTGCGTTGAATTTTTCTGGTGAAACCTCCTAGATGATAAACGAGCATGAATTGTTCGGATCCCTGTTTGGTTCAGTCAGATTGATATTTGAAGTGTTAGAACCAATCGTGATGAAACTGTGTATTCATCGTGTCGAGCGGAAGTTGATTTGTCATTGTTTTTGCTTATGATTAAGTAGTCGAAGGCCTTCAGCCATTAGAGTAGTATGTTCTTTGACTTCATCTCTGTTTAAGGTTTGGAGTTCCGAGTTTGGATTTTCATACTCTTTGAAACATGCTTACAAATAAAATCATGCCTTCCAGCTATCCATATCTGAAACGGAATCACACTTTCTCACATGTGTTGAACTAGAATTTCTCTGTTATTTCCATGACTAGACAAAATAGTTCAGTTCGCTTGGATTTGTGAGTTGTTTTTCCATATAGTCAGTTCGATCATGAGTTAGTAAATCAAATAGTGCGCATTTTGGATAAGGGTGTGGCATTAATCAACTGGTATTAGACTGCTGATTGCGCTTAATCTCCTGTTTTGCAAACTAAGTTTGGATTAGTTTACTTTCATCATGGTCAATCTTGGCATGTTAAGTGTTCGATTACCAGAACTGTAGTTTGTGTCCGCATCAACAGTTTGCATAATTATTCAGTTTATCTTCTCAAATGTGTGCTAGTATACATGAACTTTTCATAATAACAGGCTTGATCTAATGGGCGTTGGGTATTTACTGTATGATTGTTTTCTTATGCAATGAAAAAGGGCATTGTTTTCCAGTGTCGAATGCATTTTTGAGTTTACATTGGGAATTAAAATAGTAATTAAATGGGTAAATATGTGCTTGTGTGATTTTATTGGTAACGGGTAATTGTTTGTGAAGAAAGGGAAGTATGCAATTATTTGGTCTCCAAAGGGATGGTGAAGTGGACATGACTGTTCTTGTCATGCTTCAATTCATTTTCTTTATTGTATTTTTCCTCTCCATGAGCATTGGATGTTATTTGTTATTTCACTGATTGGTTGTTGGATATGAAATTGTTTGGATGATTGTTGGGCCATGGGAGTATGGAAAGACCGAAGCCCATTAACGATTAATTTGTCTCCATGCTTTAAGTGTCGGGCTCAGTCTAATAAAAACGAAAAGTTAAAAAGGGAATGAACATGAACATAACTTTATATATTTAGTTTCTATTTGTTTTGCTTTTATTATATTGCCCGCTAGGAGCATGTTAGGCTGCCATCATTTGGGTAGGCAAGCTTTAGGATTTGTGTTGGTTTCGAGGTGAGAGGTCATTCCCTTAGTTAAATTTATCCGGGGAATGCCCCGAAGGATTTGTACATATTTTATTTCGGGGAATTTCCCGTAGTATTCTGTAACTGGAGGTCGAAGGCGAACTCGTAGTACTTTTATTTCTATTTCACTTTTGTTTTTATCTTTTTTTTTATTAGATGGGAACGACCTCGAGCCTCTTGTGTGTTTGATTTTCTTTTTTGTGTTTATTTTAGCTCAATCTGAATATTTTAAAAGCCAACTTGATCGAGTACGCAACCGTGCTAGTTACGGGATTCGGGGAGTGCCTAACACCTTCTCCCCGAGTCAAATGAACCTCCTTACCCAAATCTCTGGTGCAGATTTAGTTTTGGAACCTAAAGTGTTTTAAAGGAAAAAATTATTTTAAAAAAAAAAAGAAAAAAAACGGTGGCCTGGCACACCGAAATCAATGTCAGGTGGCGACTCTGAGATATTTCCTTTCGAACACAAATTTTTGTCACTTTCAAAATTGAAAACCCTTTTTTAAGCTTTATTAAATCTTTTTTTATCAATTTAAGAGGGTTTAGTGGAGTTTGTTTAAAAAAGGGGTGCCAATATTATGAAGAGAAAAAGAAGGAACACTTTGAAAAAGAATATAAAGAAAAATGGAAAAAGAACATTGACCCATAATAGGAAAATGACAGAAATTATTAATATATATCCTATCCCAACTTTCAACTATACCCTAACATAAGTATATTAAATATTTCCCCTTCTTTAGGGGAGGGAGAGGGTGGGATATGAAATGACATCCATACAAATTGTCACCATTTAATTTGGTGGTCGAAGACTTTGCTCACATGGTTACATAGTATTAAACCATAACATGAATATATATTCTTTTTATCTCTCGTCTTGTATTTGATATTTGTATTGGAGTTAATTCCATTCTTGTTAAGAAGTGGAGTATTTTTGCAAAATTTTCAAGTGGGGTCTTATAATTGGTATGCCACTATCTCTTCCTTTTCTACTTTTCTTTCTGTAATATATTCATTTACATATGGAGCTTTCACCACATTCTCAATAAAAAACTCTTGAGAGTATTACTATTTCACTTAGAATTATAGCATTTTAACGAAACTTTAATTTATCTCTTATACTTAAAGCAGTAATAAAGCTTCAAATCCTTTGAATAACTAAGCAGATCACATGACATTTTCAATCAAAATATGATCAACTATAGTTGGATTGAACTCTATAGACTTGATGGACGGGCTTTAATTTATTCAAAAAGCGAGAAAAAAAGATATGTGGTGAAATCGACCACCCTAACATATTGATCTACCTCGGACCATCGATATCATATGTTTCTATCAAAATAGAATTTCACAAAAATCCAATTATATCCGACTTTAATTGACCTATTACCAATATACGAAGAAAAAAAATGAAGATTTTGAAAAATAATATATATAAGAACATGATGAAAAACGAACATTGACCCATAATAGCAAAATGATAGAAATTAGTAATATCCTATTCCTACTTTCAACAATACCCCAATTAGTATATGAAATATGTCCCTTTCTTTGTGTGTGTTTGGAGGGGGAG